CCGCTGAACAATAAGTTCGCGACATATTCTGAACAATGGTCACAGATACGATAGGAATCGGCAATACGAAGCTGACGTTGACGGCGCGGCACATCCTTGACAACGTGGCCTATTGTAGCATTCTTTTATTTAAATCGCGTTAAAACGCAAACGAACAACAGTTCATTGACCAGGATTTTTTGTTATTATGCAATAAAATATTTTATTGACATAAAAGAAACTAAGCGATTAATTTTCATCACGTAATTACGTGATGGTATTTAAACAAAGCTTCGCATGCGCATAGCAACATCTCACATGGTTATCATCAAACAGACACGCCCTGATATCGTAGGCGACTCAAAGTTTACACATCTACCCGTAAATGGCGGGTTTAAATAAACGCTGTTCAAAAAATCAACATATAAATTTTATGACATAACTCAAATACAGGTTATTAGAACTCTGGCTGAGCCTTAGCGGTAAGAAAACATCCGCGAGTATGTGCAAATTAGTTTTCGCATTTTCATACAATATCATGGAAATAAAATGATAATTAATGTGTCAAGAGCAGTTCGCTTAAATCACATTAGCAGTTTCTCGTTGTCAAATATTTTACATGAGTTGTAAAGTGTTAATTACCAGTGGGATTATAAGTACGTTACAGTATTAGCATTTGTTACTGGAATGACTTGACCGCTGACATAAATGTCATCAGCCATAAATGTACCAGAGCTGCAGAAACCGACAGGAAGCAACGTGAATGACATTATAAGCTTGTAATCGATTCCTATGAACGTGTGAGATCACATCAGCGCGCGCCGCACCGCATTCGTACTGGGCATTTTTTCGTGAAGGACGGCTGCCAACGCGGAGCGCGTACAAGTTACGTTAATAAGACGAACGAGATTCCACTGCAATAGGTTCCGATCTAATGGGGCCTCCGTGTCTCTACGCAGGATCGTCCTTTGTTTCATACCGTTTCTATTCAAATTAGTTTAAGGCGAGGGAATACCAATGAACGATCCATATCATTTGGGAATTCTATTGTATAGATTTAAATACACTGATAAAACTGTGCCTTTGAAACCGAACGTGTAGAGTTATAACGTTTTATAAAGTTACGGTTATTACCAAGAAGAAATAAATACACAACCATTCAGTGTATAGGAATTTCGCGTATGTGTCATGTCAAACAATAAAATCACATTAGATTATTCCCACGTAATTTTTTATTTTTATCTTGATTTGATCAAATAAGAGCATAAAGTATGAAAAAAGAAAAATGCAGTATTCTTTTTGTAAAATAAGAAAATCAGTTTAATTCAGTAAACGATCACCGGTATTAAATAAAAGTGACCCCGATCGTATATTGTGTCAGGCCTTACGAAAACCGCCTTGACAAACCTAATGGACGGAATAGCTTTAACAAATATATTTATTTAAAGAGGGAATTATTGCACAACGATCGTGTCGAAGCGTAATACTACATGCACGTACTCCATTTGCATGACAGCCGACATCGATATACCGAGGAACTGTACTACAGATTTAGCTGCACGAAATTAACCGCTCATTTAGGCTATTGGTAAAATGTTGTTATTGAAATATAAACACAGCAGTTATTAATTACATGTTCATTATTGATTTTACAAAATGACTAACTTTCGCCCAAGACTGTCGGCGCGGATAAGTAGCATATGTTTTCTTCCGGACTATGTTCTACATATATGCCACATTTCAACGAGATCTATGCAGCCGTTCTGGAGATACCTTCTAATAAACATCCATACGTCCATACAAACGTTCGCATTTATACTTTATTAGTAAGAAGTAAGATATTTTAAACTGTAGCTCCATAATAATAAGGTCTATTGTCTACGAAATATATGGAAATGTGTAATCCCTGTTCATCCCATTAGTACTTCTATCAAGCTAAGTATTCATTATCTTTTTTGTTTAAATTAACCAGTCACAAGATCAATCTTTTAGTTAGATTTGATAAATTTAAACAGGCTTTTTGTATACCCAGACAACTGTTTCCCTATTAACAAATAAAAGAGATAAGTTTAAAACAATGGGTTATCAGAAAAGACGTACATCGGCTATGGGGCTATAAGTTATCAAACATATGAAGTAAAAATAAATTGAGGTGGTATCAAAAACGCTGTTAAAGTGCCGAGGGGAACTTTCACCGGGGGTCGCCAGCTTTCGACCATCGCCTCGCAGGCATCGGATCTCACCACAAACGTGCTATGGGTGCTACAACAAAACTTCAAACTTTTCAATCAATTATCATCTTTATTCATCAAATTTTACGAGCTATATTACCTTGTAAGCTTTCATTAGCTCAATACGTCAATACATAACACGATAAAGTAGCTCCGTCTCGTTTCCTCGAACGCACGAGAGAAAGGTTCAGCGACTTATATTGTTAGTACGGATGATGCGGACTACTTCCCACAGATCGTATTATTCTTTTTTTATATAACTGGAGCACGGACCTGCTCCTGACTCAGTGACCTAAATGAGTTTCTTATTCAAGTTCAATTACAGTGCGTCGACGTTTCTACTTATTTCCTCGGATTATGTAATGTTTTAGAGTAAAGACTAGAGAACTTTCCTATATAATCTACTCTATAATTTTATAATATTTAAGTGTATCTTTTAAGCCAGGTTATGATGTCATAGACAACGAACGGTTATGTCAAGGGTATATAAAATCAATGTGTGTAATAGGTACTCAAATGGAAAACATGTCTAAAAGAGATAAGGCGCGAAATTTTATTTGAAAATATCCCTTATAAAAACTAGCCAACCCAAGTCGATATTAGTCAATAAAAGTACCACCTTTTATCCCAAAAGAGATAGCAGTCAAATGTATATACACGACATGTACATTAAAATAAAAGCCAATGCTTCGCCTCATAGTGCCCGTATAGAAAATACTTTCTCAGTTGTTATTGAGTCCTAACAAAATAAACAGGTAAGGTAAATCCTAATACTTTTTTATTTAAAATATAAGTATACATACAAGAAGGAAAGTATAATACTTGATGATAAACTATTCGAAATAAAGTAATGTTCAAAGTAAGTATGAAATTGTAGAAATCAAACAGATTAATGTTTACGCAACAAATGGGTAAACGACGTGGGTACTCAAAGTCAACATTGCTAAAGAGAACGTATACTTCGCTAAAGATCTCTATCTTTCACAAAGACTTTAGATTCTTTGACGATTACAAGTAGAGAAAGGAATGAGTCAACGAAGGAATTCCATTGACTGTAAACGTTGCAAAGCTAAACTCTGACTAACAATACTAGGCTAAAACGACTTGATCTTAACCCAGATTTGGTATGGACATGTTACGTACGGTCATGTAACATTTGCAAAATAAGTCTCGAGTATTGAAAAGTTTTGGCAATTGCTTGCTCAAATGCTCTAATCCCATAAATCCTGTATAGTTGTTTTTTAGGATTCCGTACCTCGAAAGGAAAAAAAAACCAAACCCTTATAGGATCATTTTGTTGTCAATCCATCTGTCTGTCAAAACCCTTTTCCTGGTCTTAGATAGAGTCTACGTATTTTAGTGTAAACTATAGAGTAAACCTATATTTAATGATAACTAAATTCTAATAAAAGTTTGAGTTTTAATTCTAGCATTTCCCGTTATCTTTAGTTTTGAAGATTATTTTGGTTAGTAAGACACACGATGTAAATCCCGTACGACGATGATACGATTAATGTTTAATTGATGAATAAATTATCACCATCCAGGATTATTTATGCGGCACGTAGGCTCCTAGATGTCGCGACTTGATCATCCCAATGCATAACAATGTTAATTCAAGTATAATTAATTGTAGGGTTTTTCATTACTAATGTACTACGCTCACTATTTATAAACAAAAACACAACAAGCATATAAATTAGCAACCATAGTATAGACTAAGTAGTAAAGAAACCAGAAATTAATGTATTTGTTAAACATATACAACAACAAGAATATAACACACGCCCGTAACCCATAGGGATAGGTAGAGACAACGGATTTTGCGTGGACCTGGCGTGAAACATATACTCATATCTATATCACAAATTATTTTTGATAGATTCGAATTTTGAGAATTCCTGTTCCATTTTATTTTGACTAAAAAATCTTAAGCTAACCTTAACAGGTGGTAAGAAATAAGCAAATGATTTTTTTATTATAATTAAAAAACCAATAGTATTAATTCACTTGGTTACCTAAAACTTCAAATCTACAGATGGCTCAGACGTTTGACATCACAATAGATATCTATTAAGTTTTTATTAGGTAAGTCATAAAATATTCAAGTCATGGGACGTTCTCCGACGTATATTCACATCATTATGAACCAGCTCTATATTTATAAATACAGATGTATTATATTTAATTTGCATAGCATATCTAAAACGTATTTTCCGAAGACAAAAATAATTTTTACATTGTTTTTATTAGCTAGAAGTTATACTACCATTTATGTTTGCGACTGTTGTTCCGGTTAACTTTGAAAAGGCGTTAAATAACTTGATGCATTCAATGTGTTAAGTATACTAATAAAATCGTTGCTGCAGGATATAAAAGATTTCTTAAACAATTTTCTATGAAACTAACTGCAATTGTACTGAATTCTGTAAACCTATGTCGTCTGCTAATTTTCTTTGTCTAGTCGTCTACTAAAGTCTGTTAAGATTTTTAACATCACGCTTACGAGCTTAAGGAACAATAGAGCTAAACAAGAATGATCTAATAACGCGATTACGCAAAACCTCAAACAACTAGTGAATTTTAATATTATTATAAACAAAGGACTTAAGAAAACTTTATAAGCTAATTTTTTTTTTCTTTCAAGTTAAGATAATCCAACATGATTTAATGGAATTTTTTCTATTGATGCTTGGCATATTGTATAGCGATGCTTTATTCAATTACTTTTTAGATGTTGTATTAGTACAAAATATGCAGATATTACGTAATAACAAGTTGTAAGCTTACCTTCTTATGATTCCAGAGCACGTTGACTGAGGGTTTTCCGCGCCGGAAGTCGCTCTGGTCGATGACGTCATCGTGGATGAGTGACGCCGAGTGGATCATCTCGCTGATCATCGCAACTTGCCGCTGTGACGGCAGCAGTGCACTGTATCATGAACACAACATTAATACCATGAAACTAATAACAAGTAACAAAGATTTATTGATTATTAGATTAATTGTAAAAGAATAGTTATTCGGGAAAATTAAGTGTTCAACAATAAAATACAAAATACACGACAACGATATGTTCTGTCACAGAGTCTTTTAATCTTTACTTAAGCAGAAGTAATATTGTTTTCACGTACTAAATCTACAATTGGGCAAATATTTGCATTCTTCTCAATAACATTAAATACAAAGTCAATCTTTTGTGCATGCAAGTTGCACAAAACTACACTGCTACACTCCAAAAAAATAAATCGAAAAACCTCTTTACTTTGTAACCTAACATTTTCCTTATATTAAAGGAAAAAAACTATATCTCAATTACATTATTAAGAAATTTATAAGCTTAGAATTTATTGTAACGGCGAATGCAGAAGAGGATAAATATACAGGGCAGGGCGACCTTATAGCGTGAAATAATAGAGAATTGCTGTTTCATGCAAAACATTTGGAACTGGGTGGTTTACGAAAGCCTTAACTGTGAATTCGACGGTTGCATGCAAACACTATCCTAATAATTTTGCATCAATTGGTAAATATACTGTTAACATTAGAGCTGGAGCTAATATTTTCTTTATCACTTAAACTAAATACTCTTTTCTACCTACACATTCTATTGCTATTTTAGCAGTAAGAAAATAGCTGATGGAGATCAGAAAACAACACTAATAAATAATGCTTTGTAATGACTGAGTTAAGTAGGATTTGATAGCGAATATTTTATTTGCGGGCGCTACTATTTGTCACATATGTAAGTGTGAGAGGGCTCGTAAGCCTTGACGTTTATGACTCTTTTTAACCAAGATACACAAAACAATGTTTAAAAACTGGTTGGCAGCACAAATTACATAATTCGTAACCATAGACTAAAAACCACTAACTTAAACAATAGTTTTCGTCATTCAAGACTTGTTCAACACATTAATTAACAAACTAAATAAATGTAAATACATGTTTGAATAAATAAAGAAATATTTAATACGGATCCCATTTTTTTACGAGCAAATATTTTTACAACTCATTAACAAAGGTTTTCATCAAATGAATTATTTATTTATGATAATAAATTATTTGTAATAGATTTATAAATAAGAAATGTTAATCAGTTATTTTATGAACATAAATTTTTTTGACTGCTTATACTTCTAAAAGTTATGTCGTTAAACTATAATACAAACGAAATACTCGTTTGGTAATTTGGATGCATCGAAAGAACGAATAAATAAAAAGATTCATTATTGTTCAACGGTATAAAGTCGTTATTGTTTAACGGTAAATAGAATGACAGTATTTGCAGAAGGTACTTTAGATAATACTTACATATAATTTTGTCGAAAGGTTATTGAAATATGTTAGCATCGTAGATAATCTATTACAAGACACAGCAAAGCAAAAACTAGGGTTATGATGTACTCATAAATTAATTTCTAATAGCTTATAGTTAATTCATAAACAATATATTGATTATTAAATAAAGTTTTCACTAGTTTGTTCATACTTTATATTCTTAAAGACATATGTAGACCGTCTTTTTTATTTGTTGCATCAATATAAATTAAATTTATTTTAACGCTGGTGGAATAAATAACAGTTGACCATGAAGATTAAAACATATAAAGCTATACCTCTCCGAGATCTTTAGTAATGGCAACTCAACATCTTAAGACAAACAGAGCGAAACGCGATGATATGTTTTCATCACGTTTCCTTCTTTACGTATACAAAAAGAAACGATACGGATAAATGACACCTTTCAGTTTATATATTCCAGTCATGAATAGATCGCGAGTTAAATCAGGAACGTGAATGTATTAATGAAATTGAACAAAACCATTAAACTGCTTCGTATATTGTAGGCAAATGCATTTCACTGTGGAATTTTCCTCATCCTATTTCAACTAACTTGAATAGTCTGACATCACGGGATAAGCTTAAGGAAAATAGAATGATTCCCATTGTTACTTAACTTACTTATTTGTTTGTATGCAGGAATTCACAAGATTTCTACCACTAATGTGAAAATGAGAAGATATCATCCATATTCAGTAATATTCCAAAGGTTGTTAAAAAAACTTTTTTTAATTTCACATCTAATACGATAAAACAAAACGAATATTTACACTCAAACAGCAACCATTACAGACATAGTAGATATAATTACGTTAGGTTTTTTATTTCTTTACGATAGCTAGTTATGCACAATTAAATCACAATCGTTTTCAATGAATGCCGTGTGAAGAAATATTGAGATGTGAGAGTTATCAAAACAAAACGCTACGATCAAGGTCCGATAGACATTGAACTATGCCTCTTGTGATGAGCGAATGCAATCGAAAAGCGCGGACTTGAAATTGTGCAATAAGTTCATTGAATGTTGGTACGACCTTGCTTTTAGTGTTACTACTCAACAGATACTGGTTTTATGTTTATATTTAATGACTCAGCATTATTTGAAAAAATAATTCACACTATATCAAGTTTAAAGTTTCATTTTTTTTTTATAAGACTAGTAGCGAGAGAACCGAGGTGATCTATAGATACATAAAGACAATGAAAACACGATAACGTTAGTTTCCAAATTAAACAAAATTTGAAAATCATTCATTTCTCGTTAAAATACGATAATTACAAGTGATGTGTGGTTAAATCATGTATCGAAAACATGATCGCCGAAATAATGACATTAAACAGTACTTAAGATATAAAATAGAGTTTAAAGTATATTTTAACAACGTAAACGATTAAGTTAAAGTCAATTGTTATTTAAATATTCTCTTGATGACTTTTTCATGGCCACATTATCATTAAAATAATATTTCATTTTTGATTGGAACTAAATTTTAATGATGCTTGTAATTAGATTAACAATATTTAGCAAAGATTTCTAAATAACGCATACGACCTTTTTTTAATTTAAGTAATGTAATTTAAAGTAATGTTAAAAAATATCTGACACAAGCCCTGAATGCTTCCTAGAAATAATGGCATAAAAAAGTCTTAATATTAATGCATTAAGTACATAGAATTCTTTAAACCTTTTTTTATTCAGCGTAACGCCATATACACAAAAATAAAACAAAAATAATAACTCAATATAAAGCGAAACGATAGCACTCTTGCCACCTTCTGCCCATAAGGTTGTATGTGATAAGTAGTGATGTAAAACTGACCTGTTTTCGCCGTAGACGTGGTAGTTGACAGCTCGCGCCATTAGTATAGCGACCATCGGCCTGAGCGCCTTGCCCTGTCCGTCGAAGTAGTATGTAGCTATGGTGTTCAGTTCCGCTTGGTTTGTGTTTCGTTCCAGTTCCTGTTGGACAACAACGTTTTGTTAAGAAAAATAATGTAATCTTTTAACATATTTATGGTATTCTTCTTAATTCAGCGTCTTTAAGTGATCACCCATTAAATTGTCCCGTATTATTTCTATACTAAAGCTCTACCATAATGTCAACTCTTCGTGGCGCAGTCGGCAATGGATGTAAAAATATAAATGTAAATGTAAAAAGTAGTCGCAAAAAGCCTTTTAAAATTAAAACGGCCTCATAAACTCTGTAACACTTAATTTAGAAACAGTAATCGTGATTTTGTAACGATCATTTACCACAGACGGACGCCGCAAGTTTGTCGCAACAATTTAAACGACAAAGAGAATAACTGTGATTTTTTTTTTAAATAATAACATTCAGATGTAAGTAATTTTATTGTTCAAAGCAGTTTATTGTAAGAATGGTAAGCAATTAGATAAAATGTGTCACAAGGTTTTTACATATTACTTTAATTTATTGTAATTTTTGTATTAAAATGTTAGGTATAAGCTTCCTTACAATGTATTTCTTTGTTATTATAAATTATTAATATTCAGGATATATTTTTTTTAATCATATAACTTAAACTTATAAAGCTATTGACGTATTCAGACAATCGTCCTTCGAGCTGGCGTAATAATATAGTGTCCAATTTACTATTTAAAATGAATAAGCATGTATAATTGAACGATACTATAGTAACAAAGAAGTCAAAATGAAATGGTCTTATAAACAAACAATTAAAACCCTGTTGAAAACATCTATCTGATGGTCAATTTCCCGGAGGCGAAGTTTCCCGGGCAATAACTACATTCCAAACAAAAGAAGCCTGCATTAAAAAAGATATATTGTTTGAAGTATTAGAGTTCATCCGTGCATTTGCAGTTTTATGAATTCTAACACTAAAATACTTTCGTAAAGCAATATGCTATCGTACTTTTCAATCGCAATAAGTTTACTATCAAGAATTTGTCGAACAATTGTATCTTATTTCATTTACCACAGAGCATTCATATGGTAATAAAGTGCTCATATCCCAACTGCCACCATACAGCGTTACACTATAGAATTCTGTTAATCACCTGTCTTCTGCGGAGATGTATTAACAATTCAAATATCTTATTGTGTAACAAATAAGTTACTTTACAGCACGGTGAGCTGTTTCAAATTTATATCAAAGCAAAATATGAATATAAATGATAATAATTTAGGTTAATGTAGTCTAACATCATATTTACAGACAAACTTTAATTTAAATTGAAAGAATCTTTTACTACTCAACATGCAATCGTTTAACGGCCATTAAAACAATACTTTAGTATGGTTTTAATATGAGAAATAAATGCTAAGCGACTGCTAAAATTTATTTATTTAAATTGATAGGATTCACAGATCACTCCGTTTATACAAATTTCATTGGTCTTGTTTTCTGTTTATCATTATGCTACAAGCTTATTGCTGAAGACGATGATGCCTATTAAGTCTTTAGTTAACGTAAATGATAATTATGATGTGAATGAAGCGAGAGAAGTGTGTCACGATTATGTTAATCAATGACAACAACAATGACTACTAAATACCGCAGGAAAGAATGATGCAGCTTGTTATAATGTTTAAATATAATACTAAAGAAAAAAATTTTTTATGAAATTTCTATTTACAGATGGGAAGGAAATTATTATAGGATAAGGATACGATGCATTTATATTGGTGAATCCGACAAAGAGCAATTGCGAAAGCCGAGGCCAAAGCCGAACGAGCCCGCGCCTTGTGCAACAATCACTGCACCTCAATAATATTAATGCTGCGTAAATAATAATCAAGAGAAGCTTGCAATATAACAGAATTTTAGTAGTTATTCGACAGCTGCACATATTGATCTGCTTTTGACCTTTTCCAATATTTATTTAGTTTTCTCAGTTCTCCTCTCGCTTGACCGGTAATATATTGTTTATTGATGATGTTATCTTACGAACGATTACTACTTGACCATGTTTATAAACAGTGTGATTGGAGGTTGGGATGCAACCTTGTTGAAAGTACATTGTTTTGGCCATATTGTTGTTAGTCAACCTGATGACTTTTCTGTATACATGTGTAAAATAAGTGAAAGTTGGCGTAAAATGTAAATGATTTGTTGAACAACGCGAATGTTTTAATCTGAAAGCGATTCTTTAAAGTTAGTTTACTGTCCGCAATATTTACAAACAATAAATATGAAAATTCTTTAAGGCGCCTGTTTAAGGTACGCATTGCGTCCAAATGTCATAAAATTAGAATATATCAACAAAATGTGTAAATCTTTGTTTGGACACGAACAGTCAATGTCATATTACAACAGTGTCGGGCTGCGAGGCGCAACTCTATTAGCGTCGCGATGGTACGTCGCGTCGCGTCTCTCTGAAAATTACACCAGAAGGCTACTCAGTTCTGCTGCGTAATGCTTGATTAAATAATCGACACATTCACACGTCATATGCTTGTTTTAATATGGATATACAAGGACAAACTCTTTGACAACATTCTTCAGTTTTCTAGGTCAAAAAATAAGAACAAATGTGTGTAAAGTCGAAAAATTGGCCCTTCCAATAGCCCACATCTAGGCTATAAATAGGTTTATTTTAATTTTACCTAGGTTATGTTAGTTTAGTTAGGTTAAGTAAAATTTTGTTTTCATTTCAAGGTGACATATAGTCGAATTGATGTTAATTTTTACAAACCACAAAATTCCTTATAAATTCTATAGTGTGGAGAGATGATTATCATCTGAGTTCCACCGACCGAGGAAGGTTAAAACCTTTACTTTTGTAAATTGGCCAATTCAACATTGTTAAATTACGCAGTGATATCTATTGCATGAATAGGCCTCTACTTAAGAGGTTTCATGGCCTCAAACCAAGGTAATGTCAATGACCTTTTCGTTTTCTAGAATCTATTACGAATACCGACAGGCTCAACTTCCATATTTTCTGATAATGTAAAATAAAGAAATCTCTACTTTCAACAACATAAGTAACATAAAAAACTGTGGCACCAACTACTTTATTATACAGTAATATATATAATAGTTCAATGCGGAATAAATGACAGACGAATTAACAAACAGTCAATGACCTGAAAAATAATATCCGCGTTGCATAAATTGCCCTTGGCTGAGATACAAATTCAACAATTGATATTTAGCACATCACTAAAACGCGGTTAGCTACAACACAATAATATTTAGTAAGTATTATAATAGAACGAAAATGAATGATAATTTTAAAATAAATCATTAGAACAAGATTTTATACATGATGTAATTATGTCCACTTTTTTCTAGTAACAATTTTTTTTTATAACATTAGGTGGCAAAATAGCGAGTGGCCACCTGAAATCGCAGAAATAGCGAAGTGACCGTTGCCCATAGACATACGCAATTACATATGCGTTGCCTTCTTTTAATCGACGGAGGAGAGGATGCACAGAAAGAAAATATTTTCCCTTCCCATGCATCCTCTCATCCGGAATGTCCACTTACACTTCCCATTCTTTCCTTATAAGAAAAATGGTGGGAAGGGAAAGAGGACTAAATTAGGCCTCCGGGACACACACTCATCAGACGAAAAGCGGAATAGCTTCCACTTCACGCCTGTCTTCTGTGTGGTCGTGGTATTTCACCGGGCGAGCCGGGCCAATTCGTGCGAAGATGTTAAAGCGGGCTCTACCACTGTTACTTTTAATGTTAAAAAACTTTACTTTTTAATGTTATTTAGTTTTCATTTTCTTAATTTGTTCTGTACAACTGCACTTTGTATTTCGTAAGACATTACTATGATGGCCGCAGCATAAAAAACCAGATGCATATAATAAGGGTCGCTTGCAAAACTAACATCCGTTCATAGAACTTTATAATTATGTGTCATTACCATTGTTTTTGAGACAAATCTGTGAGTTGCACTGACATTATGTTTCGCTTCGGATGCAGTTTATGCTCTACTAATTGTGACATTCATTTTTAAGACAATGTTACCACAGGTTTATTAGTTTTCGCAAGCCCTGGTGCAATCATGAACCTGTGGTTCTTTACACTACATGACTTGTCTGTACGTTACCTATCAGACGGTTTATTTTTTATTATATCGGTTTATCGAATTGGCCCGGCTCACCCGGTGAAATACCACGACCACACAGAAGACAGGCGTGAAGTGGAAGCTAATCAGCGTATCGTCTGATGAGTGTGCGTCCCGGAGGCCTCATTTAGTCCTCTTTCCCTTCCCACCCATTTTCTTATAAGGAAAGGATGGAAAGTGGAAGTGGACTTTCCGGATGACAGGATGCATAGAAAGGGAAAATGTTTTCTTTCTGTGCATCCTCTCCTCCGGTGATTAAAGGTAGGCAACGCATATGCAATTGCGTATGTCTATGGGCAGCGGTCGCTTCGCTATCTCAGCGATTTCAGGTGGCCGCTCACTCGTTTGCCATCTTGATAAAAAAAACTCTCCCAAAATGGCCTAAAACAGAATTTAGAATGTTACTTAATCATTGCAGTTTTAAGTAATCACTACCTAAGAATCCTATCGTGGCCGTCCTAAACAAACTTGGCGGCGCTCAGTAGCTGCCGACATGAAGACAATCGGTCTGACATGGCCTGAGACCAAACGCAGAGCCCAAGATAGAGCGAACTGGCGGCGCACTGTGGTCGCCCTCTGCCCCACTTCGGGGACATAGGACTTTAAGTCATCTAAGAATACTCAGTCATTATTTCAAAAATTGAATATGTTGGCATACATGGCTTGAACGCATGCTGGTTATGTCATTAAAACGGATTTGTGCCTTAGGAAGGAACTTCCAAAAATATCAATATATTGAAAAATTGCACATGATATTACATCTATCTACTAATAGTACTAGTAATAACGGATGTCCGTTAGGGAGTACATATTTTGCGGTACACGTACTAACTGTTGCGATAAATTTTATGTAACATTAAATGATAAAACTGGTTTAAAACATTAACCTCGATTGAAATGACTGTAATACCAAAAGATAAGATACTGAAAACGATGGCATAACCTGCCTTTAAAATTTCGTCAACTGCCTTTATAAAAACATTAGTTATAAAATCGACAGGCGGCCAGATTAGTACCAAGAAAGTTGAACTTTCATAGTCCCACCAACGTTCATGATGTTAAAAAAGAGTGACACCAAGGAAACCAGCGTTTAGAAATGAGAGGCACGGTATTCACGTATGGGCCTAGTTTTAGACGAGTTTTCCAAACAAGAAAGTAGGCGAACGAGCGAGCCGTATCTACCGTATAAGCGGTTACGGTACGGCTTAGAACAGAAGCGATCTATTCTTGTAACGTGTATATGTAGAGTTGAAGAAACTTAACTCGGTGGAAACAGATTGCGAAAATATTATGCAAAAAATACCATTATTACGAGTGCATTGGAGATACCACGTTATTAACAGGACAGCTAAGCGATCTGAATAGGTCTATTTTTAGAAATGAAATTGAACAAGTGTTCTAAACAAAAAAAAATTGCCACAAAAACGTGTATGTTTACGCTCAAGTAGTTACACTTACGAACATAATGCTTGATCAATCCTTACATAAGTAACTGGTCCACCGTCCCTACAATTTATTACTATAATTATCAATTTTAAAACTTAGGTATTTCAAATCTCAAATTTATTTATTTACTCTAGCCTATTCGTATGTATTTACACAATTCAAAATGTATCTGAAAGCACCAAGGTTATATAGAAATATATAATCCGTAGTTTGATTAACAACTAATCTGTTACAGTACCATTCAAACTTCAAGGCAGCTCGCCAAATTAGAACAAACCGCTGTGCAATTTTAAGTATCGGCAGGAATAAACCCAAGAAGCACACCCTTTTGCACTCGTCTATGAGCATGTATAGAACCCGCCTACAAATACATGCGCTTGTAGCTAGCCACGAGCTCCTATAAAGTTTGAGTCTTATAATAACAAGATCGCTAAGTAATATAACGATGAGTGAATTGCACAAGCAACGCCCACTCGCGTGCTATCACGTCGTGTCTTTGACACACTTCCAGATCAATGGACAACACAATGACCTGTACCAACAAACATTAATTGTTAAAGACTTGATTGAAACTAGCTATTCTGTATTTACTATTATCATAACCTTGTTTGATGGTAAAATTTATAGAATCACATGTAAAATAATTCTAAATGTCCGCATTTATATCATATCAACTATCACGGTCCGTAATAGATATCAAAAGATAAAATAAACTGCGATCAAAATACTACAAAAACGTATTATTCGTATAAATCCATGATAAAAAAAACTTCTACGAATCATTCATTGTCAAGTCAAGGTAACCATTTATTTCCCACTAAACACAAGTTAAAAATTAAGTGGGACAAAATAAACGGTCTTCTATTGTAGTACCAACATTCACACTGTAAAAGTCCAACAAATTTGAATGTGTACTTCAAACTACAAGATTCGCGGACTGTTAAGACTAATTCACTTATGAAGTATCATTAGTTAAAGCAAATAAGTAATTCTAAGTATTTTATGTTAAAAGCTGGGACACACATTAATTAAAGACATAAAAGCAAATAGAGAAGGCCTTTATAGAGAAGTTATTTTATTGACTCTCCGTTTCACCGAACTCATGAAGTTCTAAATTTCATAAGTCAAAATTTATTTTGCTAGGAATTTGGCTGTTAGGAAACCAATATGTTACCCTTTTATAAGCGTACAAACATAAGTGTATAATAGTAGAAGTGTGATAGATGAAATATTTTAGGTGATCACTAACCGATCTTATGTCCTCATAGATGCCGTTGAGGTCGTCTTCTAGCAGGCGATAGGGGTCGACGATCTGTGTGCCATAGTCGGGCAGCGAGCCTGTGCTGGTGCTCTGCAGACTGGAGGCTAGACGCCGCACCGCGCCCGCCGCTGCCGGACCCATACCTGCCGACCCGCATGCCGGACCGCATGTAGTCACACGCTGCAATAAATTACATTCATTAATACAACTGAAATAATTAAGAGTACATCATATAGTGCCTTAAAGCGAGTGTATGAAGGTCTTCGAAGTCCTAGAAGTATACTATTCTTTGCTCACTTGCCTTCTTCTGATCAATTTTAGTTATTTAAAAAGTACAATTTGCCTCTAAATTAACTTGTTTTCTGATTTTTTGTAAAACATTCCAAATTAGTTAATATAGTAGAGAGTGTTGCAGTCGTAGCGCAGAAATTATTGCGATGTGCAACAGACATTAGCGCGGATTTGTAACTTTTCGAACCATTAAGCATACTCATTGCGGTTCCACAAGGACATTACAATCAACTTTTGTGGTGGCCAATGACAACGAACAATGAAGAATACATTTTTTAGAAAAAAGTTTTTAATTATTGATTTCAGATATGTATATAAATATGAAAAGCATATATAATTTGGTATTGTGATGCTATACCAAATTATATGTTATCACTTACATCTAACGCCTAAATCCCTAAACTTTACAACTATATAGTTTTTACAAATTTTTGTCACGTTATAATTTAGATATATAAAACAACAGTGCTGAAACAGGACTTGATTAAAATGCGGTTTTTTTACATCTTAAGTAAATCCATCCATCCACATCGTTAAGTATAAAGTTTGTTCATATCAGTTACTTAAAGGGAGCATGAGTAAGTGACGTGTAAAAGTATGCCAAAACCTATCCGGAAAAGGGTATTACGACTGTGCTGTCGATGTAAGTCAGGGCGCGGCGAATGCTTTTGTAATTCGTTTGACACTAAAATTACTAATACAACATTCTTATAACGAGATTTTAGTTCCATAAATGACACTAGTAAAAAGTTTCTTCATCATCTTCAACGTGCCGTGTTAAGTATCGCTTACCATTATTATTTTGTCACCTAGTTTAGTTTTGTTAAACGTATTACAATTTTTAACGCATAGTAAAAGTGTTACTTTTTAATTCCATAGTTAGAAATTGTGGTTTATGTAAAGTATGTAAGACAGATTGTGTGATTCAGTGGTCCAGATCGTACATAGTGGGAAGGGGCCGTTTGCCCTTAGCGGTATGCCGGCGCGGCAGTGACCGCGATCCGACTGTCGCAATAGTATTTATGCAACTGAGTGCACGCACCTGATGGGCCCCGTAAGTTGCAAAACGCTACGCGGGCGTCGCACATATGCACTACACTGCCTACAAGGAGACCTAAATTATACAAGGGGTGTTACTGTCTTCGAAGAAAACAATTTGTCGCTTCATAACTGTTATTATGGTCGATTTATAAGTACGACATTTTAATGGGACTAATTAATTTTCATTGAGGAGATGGTGATGAAATTATTTTTTATATATAAGTTAAGGGACTAACGAGCGACTGAAACAACAAAGTGGAACAATGAAACATACCGTATTCGGTTTACCTAAAGATGTTATCACAAGAAGTCTTTTCATTATAAAAATATTTATTTTGTTAACGAGTGACATCCATTTTATTTATATTTCCAAGAGTAGAACATGGCATAAAAGTTCATACGCTGTATATATTAACTTTTTTATCGGTTTAAGGATGTCAATTCTTATTGAAGAGTAATTGTTTTCGTGTTAAGTAAGCGCAAATATTTGACATTAAACTTTATTGCAGTTACATATGCGAAAGCCATTAATTCATCACTCGTCCGTTTTTTAAATTGACCATCGGATGAATTGGTTAAAAATTGTTTTGACATAAAATTGACAAAAGATAATTTTTAAACGTGTTTTACTTTTTCATTTACATATTTTTAATGATACTTTAAAGAAATATTTATATGAATGCATAAAATTGAATATCGACAACAAGTTTAATCTTTTATGGGCTTACAACATGTCACTTCTTTTCAACATACTATTTTTTTTTAAACAATACACCAGTGATCGCTAAAATTCTCATTGGAGGGCACTTAGTAATAAGATATTTATGTATTAATTTTAAATTGCAGTCTCCTTGACATTTCAGGAGTAGAAGCAAAAACTAATTCTATGACGCATTGAATATAGAGCATAGGAAAAGGTACTTAGTTGTGGCACACGTCAATAATTGCAAAAAGTGATTGGTCGAGCGACCTCCCGCCTAAGCTAAACGAGCCCAAAGTACCCGGGGCGACAAAGGTCGTGCTGGTAATTAAGCGTGAACTGACTGCATCAAAAGCAAACCTTGCTCGCTACAATAACTCTATGCACATAAATTGAATAGACACGCGTAATTGAACTAACAAACGTATGGTACATTGCGCAACAAAAGCTATATATTTTATTGTCTTAATGAAGAATCATATTTAATATGTTGTTATTCCCAAAACTTTTGTAATTGATATTTAGAAGTGGCGGCTCAAGTGTTTAGTGATGCATTGTAATATTTTATGAAAATTAACAAAAAGTAACAAGTAATAAGCTAGCCACCCCAATCCCAATTAAAGGTGTGAATATTTTTAATGTTAAGAATGTCAATGAACCTCTTTGACTAGTAACGAATGCTTGTCAACTTCGACGTATCACTTTCATTCACTAACCAGTTTTTTTCGCCTACGGTTATCTTTATTTGTCACACAAAATACGTTAGCTTTGCGTTTTAATTTAAAAGCTGTACTTTGTAACACTCACATATATCTTCCTAATGTTCTAATAATATGTTTAATTTAAGATTTCATACAAAATAAAATCTTCCGTTGGATACACGCCTCAGATAGACAAAGTATTGGAGTACGAAATTGAGCTCAAGCCTAATATTTGGGCAACATCCTCGACTTATCGTGACGTGAATATTAATTACTTCCATACGATTTCACGCACGTCATAACAATGTTGCCTGGCACCTATGTTAACGCTACCATCCTTATTTGAACGTATTATTAAGTCCTACAAAATTTAAATATTAAATTAATGCAAACAAAGCCATTGTAAATGTACGTAAATCAATATTTGTTCAACGATTTGTTTATATAGGTTAACTTGTTCAGTAATAAAAAAATTAAATCATAAACATTTGAATAATGAAAACTCCTTTGAGGTGGCATTTCAAACTTCGACCTTAGTCTTAAGCCCAGTTACTTCCACTGAATTTCTGAAACTCTAAGTTAATATTTTTTTTATTTTTTTTGCAATCAATTACTAGAATTATTTTAATTGGGACATAACTTAAATATTAAGTGATGAAAATGAACAAACAATATTTTAGTCAATATTTATTTTACCTTGAATACTTCTTTAATTTGTTAACCAAAAATAAAACGCGGTGCTGTTATTTGATGGTTGCTTAACAAATGCAAACATATCTAAAGTTAAAGATTTACCTTTGAATTTATGTCCGAAAGATCAGGACGTGTAATTTTAACGTCGTAGACGATCGTAGACCTTTCATATTCAGATTTGAATAAATAATGCGACGAACGCTGTCCAGTCTACAAAAGACGTACATATGTTATCTATTTCTTACGTAGAGCTTCGTGTCGCGTTTGATTATTCCTTTTGAAGTATTTAAGTATTAAAAACTGAACATATCACTGTTATGCTACGTTATTCAACACTAACGCATCGCATAATGCTCGTTACGAACTCAAACTAAACTAAACAAGAATAATGTTAGAATATCAATTACTGGTAATGCAAATGACTTTTTACGTCCTAGATGCGGTCACGCAGTCGCGGCGAGTATGCAGCTCTGACAGGAACCCATGTGCTGCTAAAATATTAAACGAAAAAAACCGTACGTAATGTAAATTGATGAACAACATTGCCGCACGTAAAATTGCATGTGTCTACGGACGCACATAATAATTAAAGCATGATAGAAAGTGAGAGTTTCGAACCCGAGGAGCGACCGCGGACGTCGCTTAAAATAGAAGCCAGCGTCGATTGACACGTGCCGTATTCGTCGCCAGTGCCACGTAACCCCACTCATTAATTATTAACGACACCTTCATTAAACACCGTTTGCTCGCTTTGTCACACCTTTGTTACAAATCATGATAAAATTTACATCTTAATTCCGTGCTGCTATAGAAAAGTTCATGGTAAAATGCTCTAGAATCGTTCTTTATAAAATGTTGTCTACTTGAAACGTATTAAAACATTAACCATTTTTTTTATCAAATATCTTTTTCTACTTGAATTATTAATTTCTAATATGTTAAAATGGCATTTCGCATTTGTTTAATTAATATTTGCATAGGTATTTTATTTTTAAATCCACATAGTAATCTTATAATTAGTTACGTTTTAATGTAACCTACAGCGAAGGATATGTCAAAACTTTTCCTTAAATTCTACAATATCGACCATATTACGTATTTTGATTTGATAATGTTATCATAATTATAGAACTTTAACTTAATATCAATCAAGCATATCCAAATCCATATGCATGTGCAAAAAGATTAAACACTTCATTTTAAAATGTTAAAAAGCATTTTCATTTACGAGAAACAGCATTCCTGGGAACCATACATAAAAACAAACTATAAAATTAAAATTCTCTATAAAACTGCATGTCCGCAAAGTTTTATGTTCCAGTAAAAGTTTATCTTAACAACAGTCCTATTTATAGCCCGGAATTCCCCGATCGCTGACGATCATCAACCATTACAGTCTATGCACGTATTATGGTTTTTATAATGCACATTTTAAAAACCCAAGAAGTGGCTGCCATGACTACATATGACAATGATTAAAATAAATGATTAAAAAAGCATACCAATAAAGGCTATGAAATGTTCAAATAAGCGCTACGCATTAAGAAATCGTGCGTAATAAATAACAGCTACAATGTGCGTAGCATTGTGTAGCACGTGAAGGTTTGGGTAAACAAAAAGACTTAAACGCGTTAGAATATTATACAAAATAAACGATCGCAGTTAAGTAAACAAGTTGTCATTGCCAGAAGTGTACGTAAAGAGGGTCAATACCGTCAATTATTTTGATATTAGATATAATTGTTCGCTGGCAT